ATGCACCAATTGTTTTCCTTTGCGGTGTGGTGGGGGTGGAGGGTTGAGTTTCCCGTAAAATTTCGTTGTCCGACTCATTGAGGCTTTGGTATTGTGGTTGAGAGTGAAGGGGTGGGGTTTAGCTTTGTGTTTGTGATTGATAGAGTGGGGTTTGGATTTACGATTGATTTGGTGAAAGTTGATCGGGAAAAACGACAAAGTTGTTGAACATAGTTAGACTGATATTTGGTACTTACACAAGGTAGTATTGCCTAACATTTTTGTATTGAAATTGTGGAAGAGATTGAATGGGAGTATCAAGTTGGAGACAATAAACCGCTTGGGATTGATCGAAGACGAAAATGTTTCGGGTTTAAAAAAAGCATTTTATTCAAAGTAACCATTGGAGAGTGTTTGACAAAAAAAAAAAAAATAATAATAATAATGAAGAGAGGGGTGTGGTAGCCTCCCCTCACTTCGATCCCGCACCCATCGAACCGCAGCTCCGGTGTTTTGTTCAGGGGTGTGGTTCCATCCACCGCGCTTCTTTCCCAATCCGCTCCTAACGATCTAAATTTTGATCTCTAATTTTACAATTTAGACGATGAAGAATTCCAAAGAAGCTCAATACATCTTTGAATGTTGTAAATATATAAATGAGTTGTATTTTTTTCAAATGGTTCAACAGGTACATTTTTTTTACAAAAATACAAGCTAAATAAGATATTTGCACATCAAACCATTCCATTTTTTCATATCCTAAAGATTTAATAAAATTTTTGACATGTTATCCATCCAATCAATTCTATGTTATTTTAATTTGTCTACCGTGTGATACACAAGTTATAACCTAATAAAGATATATAAAAAAACAAATATAAGTTTTACAAATGGATTTTAGTTTTTGTTGTAGTATGAGTTGTTATCCTTCAAACTTTTACGGTGGAGAGTCATGGGTTCACTTTTGTCTGAAGCTGTTGGTGATCCGCCACAAAAATCCTTTCAGATTATGTAGAAAATTCAGAGTTTTATAACAAAGCATAGTATTTTTAAAAAGTATTTACCAATTCATTGTACTTTTAAAAATAATTACCAAAACATAGTTCCTTTTTCTATTGTAATAGTTTATATTAAACAATAAATGCTCGATGGGCTTAGATCTACTATATTTTATATAAAAAGAAAATTAAAAAACAAGTTAACCCAATGAATTCTTAATAAATTTTTGTCATTTCAATTGTTAACACAATAACTCAAATTGCATATATTAATTTTTTTTTTAAATTCTTTTACCCTTGACACTTTATCTTTTTACCAAAAAGAACATTTAGTTTTTAATTTCTATTATGTTTAAAAATAAAATAATGGACAGATGTTAGGAAAGTAAGAAGTGAAGACAAATGGCTCATAGGTTACGTCAGACGAGCATGTTTTTGTTTGCCATATATCAAGTTTCTGAAATATTATTTTTACAGATCCATAACGGTTAATGAATAACAACTGAAATTGATTTAATTATAATAACTCGTGAATCGGTTCAAAGTAAGTTGTTAATGTTCAAATGCTTAAGCAATGATCATTTTACTGGTAAGATTATTGAATTTTTATATATGAAGCAATGGCTAGGTTGTAGGAATACAAATTTACAGTAAATACATGGGATACGTTATTAATACCCCTTTTGTATAACTATACCTCTTTAATAATTACAAGTTTGGTACAGACTTTTTAGTTTTAAATTTTATAAAACTTTTTCAGAATTCTAACCAATAAAAAAACATATTCTCTTAACACACTGAAAAATGTATCCAATGCATGTAATGCTTTAGTATTCAGAAAAAGTGACTGTATTACATTGAAAATTACAAAACTCTAAATATGGTCCTATTATTCGGCTCACCCTCCCCTCTACAAACCCTATATTCACGTGCTTTTTGCATTGACATTCCTTTTTCTTTTTCAAATAAACTTTCTAATTTGCATTAGTGACCCTTTACTTTTAGAATTTGTCAAAATTAAAACTTTCCATTATTTTCTATTTTTTTCTTTTTATATTGTTTATTTTTATTTTATTTTCTCTTATAATAATATTTTTTACATGGAATATTTTATTTTTGAACTTTACACCTACATAAAAATCTTATATTATAATTGAAATATATTAATTTTTTCTTTAATATATATATATATATATATACATCAAATCAAATAAGGGAGGGGATATTAAATAGAAAGAGGGGGCTGAATACCTTTACCCCTCTAAATACAACAATTAACAATTGTGGACGGTCAGCTGCCGCCGGTAGCTACCGGAAAAACAGAAGAGAGTCCGAACAAAAGAGAGAGGAACGTCGCCATTAACCGGCGTCGTCTTCCATTAACCACTGCCATCGTCCCCTTAGTCGGACTACCTATTTCCTAGTTTTTGTCACAAATGTATGTGCACGATTAATTATTTTGTATTATTATCATATGAAACTAAGCTTTATGTTCAAAATTAAATTTATCATTTATTTTGTAGTATCTTTATTATTTTTTGAAGTAAACAAAATATGTTATGCTACATGTAAGACGCAAATTTAGTATTTATAAGTGGAAGTCAAGTTATTTAGTTAATGTTTGTTTACAATGTTTAAAATAACTTTTTTAGAATAATATATTAAATATATTTAATGTTGAAAAGTTTGTATACAAACCATTTAGATTATATTTTAAATGAGTCGTTGCTTATAAAATACTTGATTAAAAAAACTATTAATTATAAATGTTAATTATTCATACATTAAAATATATATATATATATATATATATATATATATATATATATATATATATATATATATATATATATATATATATATAGGGATACGTTATTAATACCCCCTTTTGTATAACTGTACCCCTTTAATAATTACAAGTTTGGTACAGATTTTTTAGTTTTAAATTTTATAAAACTTTTTCAGAATTCTAACCAATAAAAAAACATATTCTCTTAACACACTGAAAAATGTATCCAATGCATGTAATGCTTTAGTATTCAGAAAAAGTGATTGTATTACATTGAAAATTACACAACTCTAAATAGGGTCCTATTATTCGGTCCACCCTTCCCTCTACAAACCCTATATTCACGTGCTTTTTGCATTGACATTCCTTTTTCTTTTTCAAATAAACTTTCTAATTTGCATTAGTGACCCTTTACTTTTAGAATTTGTCAAAATTAAAACTTTCCATTATTTTCTACTTTTTTCTTTTTATATTGTTTATTTTTATTTTATTTTCTCTTATAATAATATTTTTTACATGGAATATTTTATTTTTGAACCTTACACCTACATAAAAATCTTATATTATAATTGAAATATATTAATTTTTTCTTTAATATATATATATATATATATATATATATATATATATATATATATACATCAAATCAAATAGGGGGAGGGGATATTAAATAGAAAGAGGGGGCTGAATACCTTTACCCCTCTAAATACAACAATTAACAATTGTGGACGGTCAGCTGCCGCCGGTAGCTACCGGAAAAACAGAAGAGAGTCCGAACAAAAGAGAGAGGAACGTCGCCATTAACCGGCGTCGTCTTCCATTAACCACTGTCATCGTCCCCTTAGTCGGACTACCTATTTCCTAGTTTTTGTCACAAATGTATGTTCACGATTAATTATTTTGTATTATTATCATATGAAACTAAGTTTTATGTTCAAAATTAAATTTATCATTTATTTTGTAGTATCTTTATTATTTTTTGAAGTAAAAAAAATATGTTATGCTACATGTAAGACGCAAATTTAGTATTTATAAGTGGAAGTCAAGTTATTTAGTTAATGTTTGTTTACAATGTTTAAAATAACTTTTTTAGAATAATATATTAAATATATTTAATGTTGAAAAGTTTGTATACAAACCATTTAGATTATATTTTAAATGGGTCGTTGCTTTAAAAATACTTGATTAAAAAAATTATTAATTATAAATGTTAATTATTCATATACTAATATATATATATATATATATATATATATCTTCATAATATAATTTTTAAAAGTAATCATAATTAATAAAAAACCGTGTCATCATAACGTAATGATTAAAAGCTAACTATTAAGGGGTAGTATTAAATAGTGAGGGGGTATGGATAAATGAGGCCATCTTCATAATATAATTTTTAAAAGTAATCATAATTAATAAAAAAACGTATCATTATAACGTAATGATTAAAAACTAATTATTAAGGGATAGTATTAAGTAGTGAGGGGGTATGGATAAATGAGGCCTAAATACAAAGTGTTTTGCATGTACAATTTGAGCTAGTCAACATGGTTAATTATATAGGCCCAGGAAATATATGGCCAGTGGCCTATACTAGTAGCCCCATCATTAACACCCTATCATCGTTTTGTGAGAATGTTGTCTAGTACAAAAGGTTTTGTAGAACATTTGTCGAGCGGTTGGTGGGTATAAACCCACCGTACCCATGCTTACATAACATAAAAGAATGAACCCGTAAGGCTATAAGTACATAATCTAAAAGAATGAAAGATCCACAATAATGAAAAAGAAAAAAGAGATACAATATTAAAAAAAGGAGATGCAGTTCTAATAGAATGAAGAGACCTATATCACATGATTATTTACAGCAGACGAAAAAAGAGAAGGTGAAAAAATGGTGAGGGAAACGGCAAGTCCAGCTAGCGATGGGAAGAAAGAAAGCGTGAGAGAAACTAGAAAAGATTAAGTTTTTCCATTTTAAAAGATAATACAGTTAATAGGTGAATAGATATAAAAGTACCACTAGTTACTAGTTAGTAAAATATTTTTCAAAAACACAATCCGATTTACTAATAACTAGCTAATTCTATTGGTTGGTACGATTACTACAATTTATATTAAAAATACTTAACTAATTGCAAAAGCAGCATTTATTACTTCAATTTACAGACACTGCCAAACACAATACATAGTATTAGTTTAACGTAATTAATACGTAGTTGGATTACTAAACCCTATAGATTGTCCAGGAAAGGCACACAAACACAATACATAGTATTAGTTTAACGTACTTTGCTGCTGTGTCTCTTAGTACGGAACCCAAACAACGTTATCTTCAGGCAAAAAGTGGCAAACTGGAACACTTCCTGGTTTCACTTTCAGCACCTGAAACGCTAAATGTTTTGGGTTCCATTTCGCAGTGTCTGTATGGCAAACCGCCACCCCTTTCACTTTAGTACCATCAGCGCCCACCAAAGAAACAGCATACGCTTTAACACTAACGGTTTTGTGGCAATAAAATACAGCGTACATGTAGTTTTGCTTATGGCAAGCCACAGCTTTATCTGATGCGAGTTTCTTGGAGCCCTCGATTGTGTACTTTTGTAACGGGGTACTTCCTTTAGCATTTACCTCTGTCGAGATCGCTTTCACTTTTTTACCTAACTTGTTAGTGCTGAAGTCCACCATGGACTCTAACGAGGTTGCACAATATTTTTCCTCGCCTTCAATGCCTTTGCTCTCGCAGACGCTTAGTGTTTGTTTCATGCTTTTGGCTTCCACTGAGTTGGACTTTATCGAAAACTTGTTGTAGATTTGGGGAAGTTTGTTTGATGAAAAGGGTATCGAATCAGCTACATGTCGAGGTAAAAAGGCTGCTTTTTGGTCGTCTTTCACGAAATGTAACTTCATTTCTGTACCTTCATGCAAGTCGTTCTCCAAGAAAAACGACGCTTCGTTTGGATCAACCTTGAGCTCATCCATGGGGACAGAGTATATTAATATTACTGTTTTATGTGTCACCCCTACATAGCGTTTCCCAACTCTGGCCTCGGTGTTCTTCTCTTCTGTTCATTCTAGTAAATCAACATACTGTTTCTTTGTACCAAATTTGTACGTACGAATAAACAATTAAAAGACTATGAAACAAAGAGAACCTGCAGTGTATAAAAGATCCTTGATTGCTTTGGGCATAGGACTGTTTGGCAACACAGACTTCCAGTAAACTTCAGGAGTCACTGCATGACTTCCTACCATTAATGATAGCTGATCCAAAAATTAAAGGCAACAATAATGAAACATGTCATCAATTGATACAATATTATAACATAAATATTACATTAACTTTTTATTTAATTATTACTTTATTATTTTACTAACTTCATTATAACCAAAAAAACCAAAAAAAGTAATTATTTTACTAATAAAAATATTTTTTTATTTTTTCAAACGTATAACATTAAATATGTTAAATAAAACACTTTTATATACTTTTTATATTTTTTTATGTAATTTATTAAAATCATTTTTATATAAAGTTTTAAAATTACAAATATAGAAAATAATTTGTTAATACTAAACTAAAAAACTGATTTAAATAAATTTAATAAATAAAAGCATTGTAAAAAGACTAATCTCGTTTAAATAAAAAGCCCATATTTTGTAAACTCAAAAAGCCCATATTTTGTTAGGTCATTACCCACCTATAAAAGAAAATAAAAACCCTAAAAAACCCTAATCTCTTTACAGCCCACCGTCAAAACTTCTCGTCACCTTACAACAAAAAACACCGGCGACCACCACCTGCGAATACCACCATAGTCGGTCAAGAACCATCTTCTGCCACCTAAGTACCATCGTCCGCCACCCAAGAACCATCGTCTGCCGCTTAAGAACCATCGTCTCTCTCTCTCTCTCTCTCTCTCTCTCTCTCTCTCTCTCTCTCTCTCTCTCTCTCTCTCTCTCTCTCTCCTGTTATTTTCGACCGGGTGGCTGGAGATAAGTTGCCGGAGGTGGTGAGGGCAGTGGTTATGGCGACGTTAGGTCGCGGGAGGTGGTAACATAGTCTTTAATGATTAAAGATTAAAATTGTAAAGATCTATGATATTATATAAAAAAAATTGAAATTACAGAGTCAAGCATTACAATTTCCAATGTTATAAAAACTGGAAGGTTAAGCCTTTCTAAAAATAGCTATAAACATTAAAAAAAGACCAATAAAACTATGTATCTTTTTGACATTATAAAATCTATTTTGAAGGTATGCATGTGCATGAACTATGTACATCCACTTCCGAAAATTTGGGTCGTTAGAATCTTGGGTTAACATCGTTCTAATCATTGCAACATATTACCTAATCTAGAACTGGAAAATTTGTAGTTTTTACATAAATTTCTAGAACCGGAGCATCTTGAACCAATTATAATGCATAAAGACATTAAAAGATTCAGAACTATAAGGTTCCTAAAAATTTAATGATGGTAAGAATATACTTACAGAAAAAAGTGCATAAACATTGAGAAGATTAAACATCATTGTGGATGATGTATGAAGACTCGCTTTGATGAAGTATTTATAATGGAGTTGAGGAGTAGCAAATGCACCACTCACCGTTTCACCGATAAGATCGACTTGTTTTATTTATGGCCCACAACCAACTTGCAAAGATCAAGTATGACAAGCCCACGTTCAGGAGCGCAAGAAAAAAACCGATCGACAAAATTATAGAAATGTTACTTGTAGTTTATATCAGTTGTTTTTTTTTAATTTCATTTTGTTGCAAAGTTGATTTTTAAGTCATTGAATCTAACTTTATTAATTTTTTTATAAAGACCATTTTGTCCTTACACCAAATCTTGAAATTATAATATAACACAATACCATTTTTGCTCGTATTAACTAAACTAGTAATTATAAATGAACCATTTAACAAAATTAACTAGGTTTTTAGTGTTTTGTAAAAGTAACCATTTTGTTCTAAATTGGTCATTCTTACTGACCAAAAATATATAATGTGTATTTTTTTTTCTTACTTTACTAGTTTCTTTTTCCAAAAACTCTTCTACTCATGTTTTAAAATTTCGTTTCAAAGTGTCTAATATTATTGTTTTGCAATCCAATATTTGATTTTAAGCTTTTATATCACATATTTTCCATTTGCTATATTGTTTTCAACTATTTGTTAAATTTAATAAAAAACATTGTATTTTTTTTAAAATTTCATATTTTGTTAATCGGATTTATACTTGTTTTTTAAATCTCGTAGTTTTTTTTTTCAAGATCCAAAATTTCAATATGAAATCTGGAATTCCAGATCCAGAATTTCAATCTAAAATTTATTTTGTTGTAAAAAAATAATATTTTTGAGGTGTTTGGACTTTGGAATGACCAAATCCGGACTTGCACTACAAGAATAAGGAGCTATGACGACGACACCTATGCCGACGACTTATGTCGTCGCTACAAGTAGGGTTATGCCGACGACTTGTCGTCGCAATAACTTTTGCCAAATTTGACCAAATTTCTTTGACCGGATGATCTGTGCCCACAACATGTCGTCGCCATAGATTCGGCGGGAATGACGAAATTATTCGCGGTTTTCTCAAACCCTATGCCGACGACAAGTCGTCGGTATAGGTTACGACAAATCTGATTTTCATTTATTTTTAGAGAAAATTACACGGATGGTCCCTATGGTTTGTGGTCACTTGCACGTTTGGTCCTTAGAAAGATTTTTTAACCCGGACCATCCCCGAAACTTTAATTTCTTACCCGCCCAATCCCCCTCTTAACGTTTCCGTTTGTTTAGGTGTTAGTAACCCACATAGTGGGGGTATTTTTGTTATTTCACCATTTCAAGCCTCTAAAACCCACCTCATTCATTCTTTTTCTCAATTTCTTCTTCTCACTTTCTTCCCTTTGTATTCTTCTCCTGGGCATGCGATCCAAACGAAGGGAAAAAGGTACATGTTCCCACTTTCCGACAGCACCATGTTGCTGCTCAGGTGTGTCTGTGAGTTGTAGTTGTCAGAGAAATATAAGCAGCCGACGACAAATGTTTGCAGCCGGAGCTGCTCGAAGAACAGAACCTGGACTATGAAACAGAGCGGTAGTCTCTTATTCTGGGTGGCATGTGTGTTGGCTTCTAGTGACAGTTTCTGACAGTCCATCAACCGGCAGTAGTTTTTTATTGGTTGGGTAAGTGATAAATGAAATTAATACGTTGTTTAAATATGTTATTATTAATAATTATAGTTTTTTATTGGTTGGTGTACAAGTCGAACACAAGAAGATTGGGTAAGTGATAAATGAAATTAATACGTTGTTTAAATATGTTATTATTAATAATTATAGTTTTTTATTTAAGGTATATTATTATTATTATTTTAATGTTTAAATTTAGTTGTTTGTTTTGATTATCGTATGTTTATTGTTTTCTTTATTTTAGGAGAAAATTCAAGACAAATATGAGAAAATGCAAAGCGAGGTCGGGGAAGGCGGAGAAGTAGATGAGGAAGAATGTCTTACGCGTGCCCTCGGAACGAGACGCGGGCATGCCCGTGGAGTGGGTAGGAGGCCAACCGCCAACTTCGGTCTAATTCCAAATGAACGGGCTTCCACTTCCACATCTTCCCAAACTCAATCTAAATCTCAATTCCAAATTGATGCACAAAAAATACAAGAATACTTAGCAACAATATAATGCATCATTGGCGGCATGTATTCCTAACTTCCAACTACCACCATTTCCTTGCTTTCTATTCAACTCTAACACACAAGGAAGTACCTCTTAAGAAAATGTCGAGCTTGAGAGGATGGAAGAAGAAGAAGAAGAAGATAATGATGGTTGATGTTTTGTGTTATTTTGAACAAAGTTATGTATTTATTATAATATTAAACTTGAATTTGAATGTTTTGAATTTAACAATGGTAGCTAGTTATTGTATCTCAATTGATATATGTTGCAAAGTGTTTGGGTTTGTTAAAAATGCAGGAATGGTAATGTATAAAATCACTAAAAACTATAAAAACACCTAGTGGCTATCCCGACGACAAGTCGTCGCTATATGTATTTAATCGAACCAGTGGCGACGACACGTCGTCGTTATGGCTGGTACCTACCCCGACGACATGTCGTCGCAAAACTATGCTGACGACATGTCGTCACCATAGGTAATTAACAAAAGTTTATTTTTTTCGAAAATATCCTCGACGAAACCTGTAACAACGACATGTCGTCGGGATAGGGGGAACCTATGCCGACGACTCCTGCGCCGACGAAAATTTTAACCTATCTGACAGACCTATGCAGACAACTCAGTACCGACAACTTGTCATCAGTATACCCTATGACGACGACAAGTTTTTTGGTACAGGTCAGAAATTGTCGTCGCCGTAGGGGCTTAACGTTGTAGTGTTGTTAGTGATTTTTCAAAAGAAAATCTATTTAGTCCTTTTCTTTAATATTATCTTAACTGCGGTTAATTAGTTTAGTTATTTATATAATTTATTTTTATTTACTGTGTTATTTCTCTATTCGTTTTTAAAATAAAATAAAAAAAGAATCTTTAAAGTAAAAACGAAAAATTAAGATGTTTGTTTTCTCGAAACTAAAAGTCTACTGATCACATCAGCAACCATCTGTAGTAGAAGAGGTAGAACAAATATATAAAAAATGCAATAAGAAGTATGTTTATTTTTTAACGTTTGTAACCTGCTAAAATAAACTGAAATTAATCATACAATAGTTAAAACTAATTCTAAATCAAAATTTTATTTAGTTTTAAGCATATATGCAAATCGAATATAAAGATAATTGTGATGATATCATTTTCAAATACGTTTATTTAAAATCATTAAACATAATAATTGCTAAATAGCAATAACATAGTGATCAACATGTTCATTTAATAAATTTGGTAATTTTTGTGATTAACTTTATAGTTTATTAATATTTTTTTATAAACAATGTAATACAAAAAAGTATTTATATGAAATTTATCAAATGGATTTGAAATTATGTAAAGTATACTTGAATTATTTATAATAACATTCATAATATTATTAAAATAATAAACATGTTGTTAGAAAAAATTAAAACAAACCTATGTTGAATAAATGGTTTGAAGATGAGGGTCCAATGATGCACCGCGCAGTACACGCGCAATAATCTTTAAGTTATAACTCTTTTAAAAAAACAAACATGTGCGAAATGCCAAGTTATGCGCGTGTTCTGTGTGGCGCAGCCATAAGTGGTCAAAAGTGAATTTTAAAAAAAAATAAATGCCTAAATCTTATCCATCAAAGAATGAAGTCTCGTGGTATTTATTAATATGGATATCAATCTTCGATGCAAGAAGCTACGGTGACGACTCCAATATTTTCAACCTCCATTACGACCCATCCTGTTTATTAGATCCACAGTCAGTGGCGGACGCAGAAGATTTTACTAGGGGTGGCACTATAAAATTTTTTCCGAAAAAATCTAAATTAGTAGTGGCATTTGTATTTTAAGCCGGTGCACATAATAGAAAAAACATAAAAAAAAAAAAAAAAAAAAAAAAAAAAAAAATTACACTACGTGCCGGAATCGGACAGTGGCCCGGGACCCCCCGGGCACCACTAAGATCCGCCACTGTCCACAGTTGTTACAATATGATACTCATTTTGTTTATTGAATCCATAGTCCAAAAACCATCTTCAACATTCTTCTTGATCTTAAAAATATACAAAAAAAAAAAAGAAAAATACGATTTGAATGAACATAAGTTGGGGACGTGATGAAAAGTTGGAGAAAATATTGGAAGTGCTACCAACAATGTTGATGATGTGATCATAAATATTAACTTGGACACTATGTCCCTATTTTGGCCACAAATAATTCATTGCATGTCCAATTGGGTTGATTCAAAAATCTACATAAAGGTAACTCAGTTTCTCACAGCTCATATGATATCCTCATCTTCCAATTTGTCACGGATTTTGGCCAAAATTTCATACAAGACGGATGATGTCACCAGAAATGTCCATTTGCATACCTTGTCGGTATTTTAGTCATAAGTTGAGTATCTTAACTCATATGCAGTTAACTCAAAATTTCATGGAAAGCTTATTCAATTTCTTATAGTTCTCATATTTAATTGTTTCTTCTAATTATTCACTGGTTCCACTCATAAACCCATCCAAAATCGATGAAATTGTTAAAAAAAAAAACATGATGTTTACAAATTCTTACATGTAAAGATGTTTACATACATCACCAACTTGTTCTCATCCTCTCGCCATGTTAAATGCTATTGCACCTCTAACCTCCAAGTAGTTGTTCTTAACCACTTATTGCATTTTTTTAATTTCCCATAGTACATATTTATACAATTTAAACCCCTCTTACCCCATGCAGAAGTGTTGAGTACATGAAAAGGCAAAAGTTCACTTAGCATATAGCAATATGTAAATGTAATCATAGCAACCAAGGCATGTAAGGCATGCTAAAACACTCATGTCACCTTCATCACCAAAGCACTTACAATTTAAGT